GAGGGGTTTGTGCTCGACAGACGCATCAGTATTTTTAGCAGAACCCATTCTGCACATATCCAACACACAGCTTCACTAGCCTGTCTGCAGACCACACAGTAAACGCTTGGACCGTTATGAAACAGGAAATATGATAAAGAATTTCAAAATAAGAATTTCCCACTTGCCTTCATACTCTTTTCAATAAAATATAGACTTAAAATAACTCATCATCCATGTTAATGATCCATCCAGACATTTATTCATTAGTTGCAGCTCCCCCAATGTTCCCTGCACAATTCTGCAGAGCATGTGATTTGATTTGCAAGATGAGTGCAGTGGCTGCTTTGCTGCTCGTTGCAGGTGATGGCAGTGTCGGTCTCCAGGGATCTCACAGTGCGGGTGCTGGAAGACCCGAACACTGTCAAGCTTGCTGAGAGACAACAGGCACTGAAGAATGCCATCCAGAAAGGAGAACCCAAATGTCTGGGGGTGAGTTTTGACCTCTGTGTAGTTGTGTTTGTATATGTGTGGATACAGAACGCCTGTGTTTTGATTTCTTTTCCCCTCCCCCTGCATTTATATGCCACCTCTACATGTCATTAGCTTTTGTCCTTTCCACTCCATAGTGTCCCTGCTTACCTTTGCAATCCTTTTGGTTCATTACTCCACAGCCAGTCTTGGCCGATGCCCCCCCCCATTGGTCAAGTTCTGGTGGCGGTTGCATCCTATTAAAAGGGAATCCTTTCTTTACATCTTCGCTAAGTGCTTGTTCACAGCGGTCATCTGATTGTTAGAGATGTCTCTGCAATGCTGTGGGGTCTTTACATTGCAATATGAAGTTATTACTTTGTTATTACTGGTGTACAAATGGAATTCAATGGAATTACCACCTCCATGTTTCACATGGATGAGGATGCAGCGTGTTCCTGTATCATAACTTCTGTCAGAGAGCTGTTTGATAGTAATCTGTGTGTGTGTGTGCGTGTGTGTGTGTGCGTGTGTGTGTGTGCGTGTGTGTGTGTGTGTGTTTGTGTGTGTGTGTGTGCACGCATCCCAGGTTAGTCAGGTGATGCTAGGACT